ACCACTTGGTGGATAAGGAATTGGCTGGATGATCGCACTCAAAGAGTTGTGGTCAATGGCTTGATGTCCAAGTGGAAACCAGTGATGAGTGGCGTTCCTCAGGGGTCGGTATTGGGATCGGTGCTGTTTAACATCTTTGTTGGTGACATGGACAATGAGATTGAGTGCACCCTCAGCAAGTTTGCCGACACCAAGCTGTGTGGTGCAGTCGACACGCGGGAGGGAAGGGATGCCATCCAGAGGGACCTTGACAGGCTTGAGAGGTGGGCCCATGCGAACCTCATGAAGTTCAACAAGGCGAAGTGCAAGGTCCTGCACATGGGTCGGGGCAATCCCAAGCACAAATACAGGCTGGGGGATGAAGGGATTGAGAGCAGCCCTGAGGATAAGGACCTGGGGGTGTTGGTTGATGAGATGCTCAACATGACCTGGCAATGTGCGCTTGCAGCCCGGAAAGCCAACTCTGTCCTGGGCTGCATCAAAAGAAGGGTGGCCAGCAGGTCGAGGGAGGTGATTCTGCCCCTCTACTCTGCTCTGGTGAGACCCCACCTAGAGTACTGCGTTCAGCTCTGGGGCCCCTAACATAAGGAGGACATGGACCTGTTGTAGCGAGTCCAGAGGAGGGCCACGAAGGTGATCAGAGGTTTGGAGCACCTCTCCTATGAAGACTTGCTTGAGAGATTTGGGGTTGTTCAGCCTGGAGAAGAGAAGGCTCTGGGGAGACCTTCTAGCAGCCTTCCAGTACCTGAAGGAGGCCTACAAGAAAGCTGGAGAGGGACTTTTTACGAGGGCATGTAGTGATAGGACAAGGGGTAATGGCTTTAAACTGAAAGAGGGTAAATTTAGATTAGATATAAGGAAGAAATTCTTCACTGTGAGGGTGGTGAGGCACTGGAACAGGTTGCCCAGAGAAGTTGTGGATGCCCCCTCCCTGGAAGTGTTCGAGGCCAGGTTGGACGGGGCTTTGAGCAACCTGGTCTAGTGGAAGGTGTCCCTGCCTATGGCAGGGGGGTTGGAACTAGATGATCTTTAAGGTCCCATCCAACCCAAACCATTCTATGATTTTATGATTGTAAGGACAGCATTAGACAGAAACTAAGCAGATCTGAAGACTGCAAAGAAAGTCCTGTTGATTTTCATTTAGATGATTTCAGATACCTCGGAACTTTAAGGCTTCCTGCAGTTATCATCAAGGCTTAGTGGGAGGTGCTTCATCACTGTGCCAGAAGTGATTCTTCAGGTCAACTGAAAGTCTACTAAGGCTCACAGTTGGAGAACTGTGGATCTAATGGCAAACAAATGGCATCAAAAAACTGTTTATAACACAGGGAAAAAGCAAAATGTGGGCATTGGGACGTGTTGTGTTTAGGAATGTTGTGAAAAGGACTTTGTGAGGGGTGTTAATCATATATCCAAATGTATAACAGCTGGCCAACGGTGTAGCAGTCATTTGGGGAAAAGGTTAGTGTAAGTATAACGTCTTAATTATTGATAGTTTGTTCTGATTTATGCTTCCTGCTTCTGTGGTTCCAGGATCAATTATTGTCTGATCTGAGCCAGATTACTGACATGAAAGACTCAATTGAGAACTGATGCTGAGTAGAAAATCTTCTGTACTATGTTTAAAAATAGTAATTTTATGTAAGTAGCTTATCTGAAGGAGAAGCTGTTTGGGCTAGTATGAAATGAAAATGTAGGGTCTATAAAAGTACAGAATCCTATCAACTCTTTATTACCAAGGCACACAGAGGTTTAAGCTGATCCCATATTTTGGGTGAAGGAGGGATTTTTTCTAAATGGTTTCACCACATTCAACAAAGAATACCTCTAGACTAATCCTTTGCTTTTAAATCTGTCAAGAAGGAGCAAACATGAAAGGCGTATCTATAAGGTTGTTTGCAGGCAGATGAAAGCAGGCTCTGTCTGCACTCTGATGTGTCTGGATCCTAGCCAGCTCTGAACTTGAAGTGGTGTATCCATTTTATCAGGATGTTATGTCCAGACCAGCATATCCTGCAGCGATTACGAGTTCAGGCTCAGCATTGTGTTCACCTGATGATGTGGCTTGTGGTTTGGAGGGGACTTGTTCCCCTCTGTTTAGAGTTCAGACAGAGAGAAATTGCATCAGCCTGCGAAATTCTGTCAAGGTGTACCCTCAGTGACTCTCCTCCCTGTGGCTCTATGTGGAAAAAATAAACTGTCTGATTTATGAAGGAGCTCTACAAGTCCAACCAAAATGTTGTATGTTTTAAACAATTTAATGCAGTACTCATGAATTCTGTTAATTTCCTTCCTTTGTCTTTGGTTGGTAACACCTGAATAATTCATGTAACAGACTTTTGAGTAACAAGTGCTTTTGAAGGCATAGAGCACATATTAGTTTTTAGTTGCCACATTCAGAAAAAGCAATATGAAAAAAAAGAAGTATTGTGAAAAATGCAGTTATATCAGTATTCAGTGTCTGTGCATTGAATTAGCACTGGAGCCTAATATCTTTTACCTTCAGGAGAAAAAAAAGCCTCTATTTAAGAACCAGACTGCAAAACACATGGAATATGTTTGCCTCCCGCAGCGCACGCATGGCTAAACCATGAATCGGCAGAAATATTAATTCTGAATCACAACTGTTTAACTGTATGTGCTTTTTTTTTTTTTGGAAGTGCTTGTAGAAATGTTGTACATTACACAGTGTAGAAAGAGTATATTGGAATGATTTGTGTTTGCTGTATTTAAAGAAACTTTATTGCCAATTTTCATGTGTTTGCTGTCTATCCCAGACTTAAATTTTTGTTTTGTTTTTGTTTCGGTACACTGGGTCAATGATTTTCAAGAACAAAATGGGTGATGCTGCCAAAGTTAAAGTTTAAAACCATCTTTTAAATAATTCTATTGTATCTGTTCTTTGAAGAAGGAACAGAAACAGTCCAATACTATTTGAGCTGTACAGCCTGCCTCTAATGTCTGTATTAGAGTTGTATCTTTTTTTTTTCAGCATTCCTTTGAATTTAGTATAGAAGATCCTTTGCAAACAGTAAATAAGTAGGTTAATCTTACCTTACCTCCTTGCCTGCCTAGGTTAGCTGAGAGGCATAAATGAAGCTAGGGAGTGAATGGCCCCTCACATGCCATATTGGAAAGAATAAGACAGTATTTAACTAAGTTGACCGTGGTAAAGACAGGTGCATCAGACTGATTTGAATGCTGCTGAAAATGAATGAGTTCTCTTGTGGTCAGGGGAATGGTTTAGGATTAATTCTGGTATAAATAAACAAAAAGGTTCCTTGTATCAGTTTTTAAAACTGTTTTTAATTTTTGCTCTAATTTCCAAATGCTTTTCTTTGTTTAATTTAAGTGGGCTCCTTTGTTTGGAGTCATCTCTCTCAGCTCCTGGAGACAGATGATCCATTGAAGGAACACCTTCGAGATTCTATTCCTGATGAAATCCTTAGCAGAGATTTTGACCGGGAGACATGGAAATACTCTTCATATTCCGATGTCACGTTCCACTCAGGTATGTGGAGTTTTAGAACTTAATGCTTTGTAGCATATGGATGATTAAAATCCCACATGGCTTTTCTGGTCCTTTACATGTTGCTCCAGAGAATTTTAACTTTTATGACTCAATAGTACCCAGATATGCAAATGTAGGCTGGATTCTGCTCTGACCTTAATTGGAGTATATCAGATGTGATTCCAGCAAGCCAGATACCATGCAACTTTGCCTTTTGTGAGAGAGGAGAATAAGAACCAATGAATTTTTTAGATTATTTTTGTGAACACCAACTTTTGATTCCTTCCTTAGTGAGCCTCCTTTGCAGCAACAGGGGATTGGGTTGTATTTTTTTTTTCTTCTGAGTCATGTGCTTTCTTTGGTATAAGAAAAGATTCAGACTAATTCCTTCCTGCTTTACCATCTGTTCATCATTTGTTTTTAGCAAAAAAGCTAGATAATATTTTTCAGAGTAACATTTTGATTTTCTGTCCATCTCTTCCAGTGCAGTTGTGTATGACATAGTGTTAGTCAGATAATAGGCTTTCAGTAATGTCCATTAAAGTCTTTGCTATACTAAAAAGTTAAATAATTTCACCTGTTGACTTAATGTTTTATTCACCATCTTCTTAATGAGCAGAGTTGCAGTTTCCCAAAGAGTGATGAGACTTGCAAAGTATATGAGAATAGCTGATCTCCACATGACAGATGTCTGATATTTTCTATTGCAGCTGGTGCAGGTGCAAATATGGAAGCATCAGTGATCTTTTCTCCTGCATCTTTTCTACCACGATCAGTCATGACAAATTTGACTGTTCACCTTATGGGGCAGGCTATAAACATACTGGAGGCAAGTTTATGGATTTTTTTCTTTTATCCCCCTACTCAAGGGACACTTGGTGTATTGAGGTAAAAAGCAGTATTTTCTGTTTTCCCATTACAGTTCCTTTAGCAAGGTATGCTTTTCACTGCTTCAGCAAAGTTGCCTCAGACTGATGACTCCTTTGTGTAATGGACTTAGTCACAGTAAACCAACTTTCACTCTGATAGTATCATACACTAGCCAAGTGAGTTATATTCAGCTCTTGTTGTTGATTCAAATGAAAGATAAAAGTCAGTGCTTTCTGAGACGCTGGTCTAGCTCCTGTTTAGGATAGTAAGATTCCTTCGGTTGACTTAGAGTGGAAAATGGATTGGCTTGGGTACACCATTCCTTTAATACAAGAGATAGAGCCATATATACCTAACTGAAGTCACTGTTTTAGTCCCATTGAGCATCCAATACTTGGGATATTTAAATGGCCTGCCTGCAACCTCATCGTCTTTAATTGTGCCTCTACTGTGCCTCCAAGGGAAAGCAGTGTTTGGCATATGGACTCTTTATTGCAGGTAAAAAAGTGTATGTGAAAGAAAGAATTTAATGCAGCCTTCAGATCTCAAGTTTAAGCTTGCAAGAGAACAAAATATTTTTTTCAGTGTCATATACCCTGGTTTTATGTGTGTTAGCAATACTATTTTAGTCAAACTTCCAAACAGAATCTTGTTTCAGGAGCACTAAAAGGGTGCATTATTGTTTTCCAACCAAAATACTGTTTGTAACATGCTAAAATAGCAGTAGCTCAAACTGTCCCATCATGGTGTAAATGAACCAGTACCTGGATAAAAAAGGATTTTTATCTTGTACTGAACTTCACGTAATCAACAAACTAAAGAGTTTTTACTGGAAAGATTTAATACTGAAATGTCCAGTATTGGATGCTGCATGAGGTCAGATAGTAAACTTTGTAGACCACTGCGATCTTGTATGGCAAATCTTTCTTTGTACAAAAACCTAAAGGTTGCATCTGGATGTATTTTTTTAATTTCTGCCTATAGAACTGGACATGGCTTATGCATCTCATTGTCAGGCTTTTCAATGCTGTATGCTTTCCCCTAGGTTGGTGTACGATTAGAGAATGCTGAAGCTCTCGTGCAGAAGATTTTGGGGCAGAAGTCTGCTACTTTCAGTGACCATTTTTTTGCAAACACTAATGAAAGAAACCACAAGTCAGAAAACCCAGTGGAAACAACAGGAGAAGTCAAGCAGAGGAAGCTGACTTCGAAGCGATACAGCCCTGCTGATCGTCTTGTGACTGAGTCTGGCGAGCCAAAATTGAGAAAAGCTAACCAGAATTGTCCTGGTAGAAAGTACAGTAAGATGAGCGAGTTAGTCAAAAAGGTAACGGACTCTGTAGATCTTGGAAAAATTGACATTCCCCAGTTAAACTTAGGGCCCTATCTAGCATTGGATAACTGCTCTGTGTTACTGTGACTCCTTTCTATAAAGCATTTGTAACTTGTTCCACTCACTTGTAGAGAACTTAACAGCTGCATAAAATACAAAGCAAGCAAGAGCCAGATCTTCAGTTTTTTGTCTTAAAACAATGATGCTCAGCCAGGGGAGTATGTTGTCTGTGTTTTGGGCTTCCTCTCGTTATTTTGGGCTCTGAGCCTCTTTATGCTGATGTCCTTTTGTCTATTGACTTCTGCAGCACTGTAAACAGCTGCTTGATGTTAGGTTCCTGAGTCGTGCTGTTTGTGATCTGACTTCCCAGTTTGATGTCAGATGTTTTAGTAACCCTTTGTGAATTTGCCCATGTTTGGAGAGAGCTATGTTCTATGTATATAACAGGAAAGCTTTGGGAATTGACTTCAATTGTTGATGTATTATCTGGAAAACTTGGGGGCCATGATTTATTTAGTTTGTCTTAGACCATCTCTCTTCTTGGGACTCATCGTCTTAGACTTTTCTTCTTGCAGTGTAAGCTCATGTTCATGTTGTGTTGCTGTTGTATTGATTCATAAAGAGGGAAAATGTAAAATTTTTACTTCTTCGCAGTTTATTTAGCAATCATGGCACCCATAATGTTGTATTAATTGAGATTGTATTTTTCAAAGCTCCATCTGTTTGTGGGTATGTATTGCAATACTTCTCCTTTTGCCCAGTCATCTTAGGACTAGACATTACCTGTGTTCAAAGTGAAAGTCAGCTTGGTATGGAACTGAAGTTTAGCTGGAAAGAACAGTTACTAATCCAGGGTCGTAGGTGGTCTTGAAATATTTATAAAAGGGAGCCTAATGTCTGTTTACTAATAACATAGCCTGCACTGAGGAATTGTTTATTATGAGTTTGAAAGGAAATTAACGTAAACATCATTCTCTTCCTGATTTATTTCTTTATCGCATGTCAGTTCACTGAGAGAACAGTGAGAAAGGAGGCGCTGAAATGTGGGCTAAGCATGAAAATCTTTGGAAATGAACTTAGCTTCTTGGATTGTGAAGATTTAAGAAAACAAATGAAACATTATTCTTTAAATCTGGCTGAGTTGGCTGTCAAACTTCTGAAGGTAAAAGGAACCTTTTTTTCTATTTGAAGGTAAATGCCTTGAGAAACAACTTTCTGACAGATATGTAAAAGATACAAAATATTACCTACTGTTTCTCTAAATTGAACACTAAAAGACACCAGTATATACTAGGTTTAAACAGCATTCAATACACTAGGCAAGGACTTGTTCTGTTGTCTGATGGTTCTTATCTCTTGCTTTTCTCATTCAAATCCATCCATGCTTAAATGAAAAATAATTCTTTCTTTAACCGGGGTAGGACTAGTGTCTAACTCATGCCCTGGCCAGGTGCAGGGTTTGGGCTGCCTTCTACTTTATTTCCTAAATCAGCTCAGTTAAAAACACTTTCACAGCAGACAAATGCAGTGGATAGATATATCTGGAAAGATTCTTGAATGCTGACTTTATTATGCAAAATAAAATCCTATTTTTGTTTGTTTGGGTTTTTTCACCATAGGGGCAAGAAGTCCAGTTTAATAAAAGGCTGAGTTTGGCCACTGAAGAGTTGCAGTTTCCAGCAATTTCAGGCTTTCCTGTTCAGCTGGCAGTCAATGCCTCAGCAGCGATCAACATAAAAATCAAAGGGAATGCAGATTTCAAACAGCAGTCAAATTTCTTTCTAAATGGATATATCAAGCCAAGGTAATAACTGCTGCAAATTGTCGCTTTCACATATTTCTGATGTCAAATAGCAATTCCTGATGTGAAAGTTTTGTGTGAATGTCCATTGTAATCAATTAGGAGATTCCTGAAGAACTTAAGCAGTCATCAGCCTTATATTGCTGAATGGTTGCTATGCTATAAGGACAGCAGTGGTTTCCTATCCTGCCTGTCTGATTTTGATCTCCGTTGCTGTACTTTCCCAGTTCTGTTTTAAGCTGACCATTCCTCCTATCTCTAAATCAAATTCTTAAATGCTTGCATGCAGATGATCTTTTGAATGCTTTACCTGTTACAGGGATGGCATTTTGGGTTTTTCTCAGGATCAGACATGCATTTACAGGTTATGGATCTCCAAACCAATGGATGATTTAACCCTGTGTTTCCTTACCTGGCTATTGTAGCTTTTTATACATAGTAAAGTTTAGTAAATGTATTCAGTAAGTGCTGTATAGACAGAGATAAACTTGCACTGTGATACTCAATCCTAATCACTTTCCCTTTCCTGGTATTTCATGCTGAAGTCTGAGTTCGGTCCCTTACTTAGGAGACAGTAAAACTATACTTTAATTCGTGTTAGAAAGTGTATGTCTGTGTACTTACAATTTTTTCAGTTATTTCCTGAAACAAAATAGTCATCATGATTTTAATGTTAGAATATACTGTGTTACAGCATCAAACGCTATGTATTTATTGAAGAGGATGAGCGGCCTATGGTTTAAATTAAGTGCTTTAAAAAGACAGCGCTTTTCATAGAAGAATATGTATCTGAATCTTTCAACAGTGCGTTTGTCCAGCTTTCTGTCCAAATGGGAACTGTGGGGATGCTGGGACAAGCTGGCCTAAGCTGGTTAACAGGAATGAGGACATCTACTAGTCTTGATGGGGGAATCCAGGTAAAAAAAGGGCAAGAGCTCAAAGTTTTCTTGAACACTCCAGAAGAATCTATGGAGATAATTAATATCAGGTAAGATTAAGCAAGGACATCTTCCTAAATAGTAACCGTGGTAACTTTCTTGAATCAGAACTTAACAGGCAGGCTCATTAACAGAGCAGAAATATATTTTGTCAGAAAACAAACTGTTTCAGTCTGACTCATAGTCCAAATCTGCCATTCAGAAGAAAAGGAAGGGGAAATTATTCTGTGCATTTTACATTGTTTTACCATAAAAACATACATTCTTCCACTGAAGTGAAATGCTCAAATCAAAATCTTATGATAAAAGATGTAAATGAATTTTTCATACTCCCCTGTTTTTTCCTACTGAATGTCAGTGCTGTTTCTGGAACTTCAGTGTCCAAAGAATCTAGTTCAGGGTGTTAAAGTGGTGAAGAAAAGCTTAACATTACTTCTACAGATAGTATTTACCAAAACCAGGTACAGAATGCTATTCAGCAAAACACTGGAGTAATTTGGAATATAGTACTAACAAGGTGTGCTCATACCCTTCTGGTGAGTTTTTACTTAGGTTCTTTAATGTTAGGTAAAGGTTACATTGTAAAATACCACCTCAACAACTGTCAGATGTTAAGCAAATTAATTACTTGTGTTAATGCAAGCTAGGCTTTTTAGCTTTTTTTTTTTCTGCTGGCTTTCTCTTTTCTCTGGACTTTTAGATTTGATAGAAGTCCAAGTAGAAGGCACTGAGGTCATCAGTGTGATGACATACTGTAAATGACATGTCAACTACATGCCTCTTAGACATGACAACAGATGAATGAAGTATTTACAGTATGTGCATTGTCGTTCCTTTGTGTTTCTCTTGATTTGGGACATTGCGGTACTGTAGGATATGCGGTTCAGAAAAGAGCTAAAGACTCTGGACTTTGCATTGCAACCATCCATTCCCTGAGGACTCTGGGAAACTTGCTGATGTAATTCTATTTCTGTCAGCTAGGATGGATGACAGACCAGAGTGAAAGTCAAAATAATTACAAACCTGTATTGCGCATTATTTGAACAAATACTGTACTACTGACTGTAGTAGAGTCTGTTAGATACTGCGTTAACTCTCTTGCTCCCATCAAGTGCAGAGACCATGATTCTTGTACAAGCAGTTTAGTGAAGTTCTGAAGTTCTGGAAGAACTTCAAGACTGGAACAAAACTGATGTCCATACATAGCCTAAGGAAAAAAAAAAAAATTCTAGAAGCCAGGAAGTGAGTGGAGTTGCAATAAGCTGACCATACTAAATTGCTCAGAACAGAGAAATCTAATACTGACTGTGAAGAACTGCAGAAGAATCTCGAGATAGTGACAGATTAGACATGGAAACTGTGGATAGTCAGTGCTAATTAGTAGAGATGTAGACTGACCTTAGCAGAACTTAAATCTTTCTTGTTTTTCCCATTTGGGAGAAGATGGCATATAAATGAGAATTTTGTTTAAATATTGCTGTAACTTTAGCATAATTGTTTTTAAGTGAATGTTTGAAATTCTTGGTTGTAGCTCTAAACTGTACTTCACAGTGGTGGATGAGACAGAAGATATAGATGTTTTCCAAGACCACACAGAAACCAGATCTTGCACTAGGGAGGAAGGTGAGTCTAGCTATCATGTTTGTCTTAGAAAGCTCGATCATTTTGAAATATCCACAACAGATCATTTTATTCAGCAGAATTTCTTTTTTACATAGTAATTCTAAAAGGTCTTCAATGCAACGCTCATGTGCATGTTTTCTTTGTTTGTTGTTCTAACTGAATGTTCAACTGTTGTCTCCCACCAGTGTCTAAGATTATTGGCTGGCAGCTGTGTTCTGAAATGTCATATCCTGACCCGGCCAGTGGTTTGGTTTTCTCCCTTACTGGACCTTTGAGAGTGGCTGTCACATTAACTAAGCAAGACAGAGGCCTGCAGCAGTACATTTTGGAAGCTGCATATAACTATATTCCTCAGGTACCATTATGGCGTGCTTTACTTCGGCTTTAGTTTTAGTTTATTATGCTGATGAAAGAATGGTATATCTCAGTACTGTATATTCAACTTAACTGGCTTTCAAGGTCTACATTATTATTATTTCCATTCCCATTATAGTGGGAAAATATGTTGAAAACAAATTACTGATGCTGATAGTAGGTACATACTATTTCCATATACAAAACAGCACGCATGAATATTAAGTCATTTGGTTAGATAGGACTGGTAGAGGTGGAAGTGGAGACCAGGATTTTTGGCTTGGTGCCCAGTACTAAACAGCCTGGCCTCACTTCGATGACTTTTTTCTCTTTGTGACACAACACCTCAAAACCCAAATCATTAATTTACATTAAACACCTTGTTTAAAAGCAGAGGTTAGCCTCCAGTGAATCCACTCCAGAATGCTGTCAGTTGTTTCAATATGTTCATTGGGGCAAGCCCAGGGAAGAAATGGTTTTCAGCTTCTGCAGGGGACAGTAAGAATTTATGGCTTTTTCTAAAATCATAGTATAGGTTTTTAACATGGGCAGTGGCTGGAGTCTCATCTTCTATCACAGCCCAAGTATGCTGCTGCGCTTGAGCTAATTCTTTTTACCGGGAGACAATTTGGGCTTTGGCTATATTCAAACACTGCTCAGTATCTCTAAGACAGGGAGATAAGAGCAATAAGCAGAGTAACTTTCCATTCGTGATTTGTTGTTCTGACTTTCTCTAATAAACACAGGAAAAGGAACAGGCATTTTCCTCTGCCAGAGAATCTGACGTCTGTAGGCAGGGCAAGGCCAAAACTGTTAACTAAGGCACCCACTGCAGGGTCATGGCGCTGTGTACTGTATCCCGCTGCTGACACCAGAGTGTAAGGGCTTAAGGCAGCCCTGCCAAATTCTAGTCACTTAGGCCTGAGCTACAGAGCTTAAATTTATAACTGGAAGTGTGGTCTGATTGTCCATAAATTTTGGCAGGATTCAGCATAATTTCAAGTGAAGATCAGTATGGTATGAAATTCAAGGTGTTCAGACAGCGTTTCCCAAGACAAGCATTGGACAGGGAATGGAAAATACAGCCTGGAAAAAAGAGAAATTTCCTGCTTTTTTTTAAAAGCAGATAGGTGGAAAATTACTGTAGCGGTGAAGGAGGCTATGATCATGTGATGTAACTCGGTGTGATAGATTGTTTTGTAAATGCTGTGCCAATTGCAAATGTGGTTATCCTTTCTGTCTTTCTTTCAGGAGAATTCATGGATACCAAGTGAAGCTGTCCTTCACTTCTTCATTGGGACTCCGAAATCAGACTTGAAAAGGGATGTTGGTATTGACCTAAATTTTAGTGTCCCACAGAAGAAATTCAGAATCCAATTTATACAACCTAAGAAAAAAATTGAGATTGATGGTAGGTTTTTCAACTAAGAACCAGATCATCAGTTAATGTCAGTTAGAACTTCATTAGAATTAACAGAAAAAATCAATATATTTCAGTCAACAATCTAATGCTAAAACTACATTATCATGTGATAGCCATTCAGTTTACTGCTTTAGGTAACACCCATTCCCAGTGGTTCTTGCATCTTGGTTAAGACTATTTTGCACAGTCAGAGGTTCAGTGCCTGGTTCACAAGCTCACGTTAAAGAGGAAAGCTGTTACCAGTATATATGAAGTTAAGGCTAAGGAACACAGTGGATTGTTCTGTAATCTTTTACATATGCCGAACTGGCCTTACTATTCCTGAATTTTAGTTTGCTGTGTTCGGTTAGTTATGATACGAAGTTACTTGTTGCCAAATCAGTTAAGTACTGACTATGATATTGCTGTGCATTATAATAAAAAGTAACATTTCAATCACAGTGTAACATAGAAAACAAAATCAACAAACACATTGATGAAATATAAACTGATAAATATATGGTAATAATATAGACAACATATTTCAGCTTCTTTGACATGCTGGTCAAGTGATGTTTTGTTTTGTTTTGATGTATTCTACCATATCATATATTTAGAATTTGTCCTTCCAGATTTTTTTTTTTTTGATCCTGGTTATTTTCAAATGGATTGTATGGAAGCTTTACCTACACTGTTCAAAGCTTTGGGTGCACAGTGTTCTGAGCTCATGAAACGTCTCCACAGCACAGCTTACAAGTTTTAGCACAGGCCTAAAGGAAGTGTATAAAACACTTCCACAGCTAAGCTGGTTTGTTGGAGACAGCTTTGTTGCCTCTTCTCAATTAGTATTCTCAGAGTGTCCTTTCAAAATGAGATGTGTATTCTGAGGATACTTCAATGCCTTTGCAAACTCTGTTCCTAACTTTTTTCCTTTGCTCTGATATTTATTATGTTTTCACTCTGTAAATATATTATTCACAACAATGGCAACTATCATTTTGGGTACAGTTTTATGAAGCATCACTGAACAGTGTATGTCCAGAAAAAGTAAACAGTTTTATTTTTCTCCAAGGGAGAATTGAGTTTTCTAAAAATTCACGAATTGGACACCTGGAGCTGATAGTAGATGACCGAGATGTATATTACATTAAGGTATGTTTTCAGGTCATGAGCTCTCATGCTAGGATGAATACTTAAATAAAAGCACAGAAAAGAAAGGCAATGAAAAACACATATATTGAAAAATAGTTTTGTGAGCAATCCATCAGAGAAATTACCAGTTCTCTTTATTACATGTTTTTGAGATAGACTCAGTGCTAAATTGCTGTGTTTTAAAAGCTTTTAAGGCATGGCTTCTGCAAGTAATCTAAAGCAATTTTTTCACATTCAGATGTACTCAAAACCTTTGGGTTGCTTCCAGTCTTAAGTCAGTAGAGAAGATCACATTGACTCCTGTGGACTTTGGTTCATTATGTGCATATGTAGTCACACAGTTTTTCAGACCTGTATTCTGACCATGCATAAAGACTCTGAGTAAACCCAGGCTAATTTCTTCACTTCTGTGGACTCTATAGACATAAGAATCTCTAAGATACTGTTCTTTATATCACAGATTTTTTTTTTCTTTTTTAAAGCACTGGGGAATAAGCAAGAGAATGCCAATGTTTGAACTCTGAAATGAAAAAGCAAACAAAAATGCAGGTGGGAGTTTATCACTGAAACTCTACTGACATTTTTGTTTATATTCCAGGACTTGAACAATTTTTTCATTATGCAATTGATACCCGTAGCAGGATGCCATGTCTTATGTGGGCCTCCAAAGCCAGTCGGTTTCAAACACTCTGCATTTTCCTACAGTGAGCACATTATTTAACAGATTATTTTTTTTCTAGAGTAATATTTCAACAAAGACTTTTTGGATGTTTCTCACGACCCCAAACGCTAATTAGTGTTACAGATTGTTGCATTTGCATCAAGTCCAACGTAAATCTAGTTACCTACTGTGAGGCTGCCAATATTTTCAGTAACACCGTATTATTTTTTTGCCCCAGTATTGTAACGTTCTTAGTGATTTCAGTCACTACTGAAGCCAGCAGGAGGTGAAGGAAATAGCATCTCACACCACTGTGATTTTTGTATAACTGGAAAAACAAATCCATCCTTCCTCCCCATTATTTATTAACAGCAGGTGTTATGGTTTAGGGGTGTTGTTGGGTGTATAGAAAAAAATCTCTTTTCTTCCTCCTCTCATCTCATTTCAGAAATGCCCAAGTCTATACTATTGCTTTCTTAAAACTTAATCAATTTGTACTGTTGAGTGGCTTGGGTTTTGTTTTTGGTTTTTTATTTGTTTGTTTATTCTAGGGAATGACAGATTTGCAGAAGCTGAGTGGAGAGCAGAGATACATGACCCAACTGGAGGTAAAGCTGATAAGGCAAAGCAGTCCTATCATTCTGTCAGGAAACATCACTAAACAACTTGGCAAGAAGATAGCTTTTTCAGTATCCCTGAATAATTTATTGAAGGATGCTGCATTTCTTTCAGGTTAGAGGACAATAAGTATTTGCCATATAAATGTAAGTTCTGGAGCCCTTATGTGTTAGGGTTGTCTGGTTTTGGACACGTATTTCTAAAGTTCCTTTCAAATCAGTAAGACTGCTTTTAAAAATTATTATCCTTAATAAATTAGTACTAATATGTATTTCAGAATAATAGGAATTATAAAATAAATTGTTTTTTAAGTCTGTTTTTAATTACTGTTGAAGAGGGTGGAGGGGATAAGATGTAAGGAATCAAAACAAAAAAAAGCCAGAACAATAACAGCTCTTAGAATATTTTCTGTTTTTCACTTCTGTTAGTACAAAATAGTGCAGAGACACATCTATGTAGCTAAACATCTCTTAAGACCTGTTGTTCTAAAAATCTTGAAATCTTATTTTTCCTCACAAATATGCTGAGAGGAAAATATAAGGAAGTATCAGAAAGAGGGCTTTACTATTTGTATAACATCAGTTCGTTAAAAGGTAAATTAATACAGTGGAATAAACTAGTAATTTAAGTCTAAGGCTCTCATTTTTCCCTTAGTATTTCCTACTGTAGTCTCCATGTGACAAAGACATTGAAATGTCATAGGATTCTGCAATATTTTCAAATAAAACTAACTTTTAAGGAGTGCAGAATGCCAGTTTGGTTTTTGGGAGATCATCTTTTGGTGAAATCTTCATCCTTAGCTTTCATGTGGATTGCCAGTGACTGCATCTAAAAATGGTTCTGGTCTGATTTCAAACTCATATCCTGAGAACTAGGCTACACCAGTTCTTCCATTGCAAAGCCACAACCTCGCTCTGACTTAATATAGAAGTAAATATCCACATGTTCACATGTTAGGTCTTAGTTAATTAAAAGATCAGTCTGTTAGAATTGATTTCCTTTTAGAAGCAGCTTTGGCTGGATTAATTTCACTAAAGTTTAAGCAGTGTCTGAGAAATACAGGCTGTATATGTAGTCGGGGAAAGAGACTGAACATCCAGTTCTGTCTTTTTGTTTACTACACAAGGAGTACATCATGGGGTTCCTCAGTTAGATGGGATGAGACTGAATGCATGTGTGTTTTTCCCACTGTAGTATTCCTTTTGCTAGCTAAAGTAACTTCATGTTCTACCACTGCATAATCACTTCTACTCTTTTTGTAGCATTTCTGGAGAAAAAGGTTGATGATAAGCTGAGGCAATACTCATTGGAAGGGGAGACTTACCTTCCAGGTGTTCTTGGAGTTCACATCATCAGTCTTCTCCAGCAACGTGAGGGCTTGTGGTCTCATGGATTGAGGATAAAATATGGACTCCTAGGTACAGTGAAAAAGAGGGAAAGTAAAAGCATTCTGTTTGTCTCATTTTTCTGCAAGTTATTTGCCTGTACAATTAGGACACTCTCTTAACAAGAAAGATTTCAGTTGATTTTTAAACTGTGATCTGAGACCTAGGATGAGTTTCTGTTTTCACTTGGATAAAGTTTACTCTCTGAGTCTGCATATAAAAAACAATTCATTTTTTTAATGTGCTTTTCACAAGCATGTCCAACATTTGATTAAAAATCACTTTTTCAGCGGGAATTGCTCCTAATTAATTTCTGTTCTCAGGTGTTTATATGAAATGAATGGTTGCATACATACTCTTAAAAATATGAAGGACTGTTTCTAGGAAACAGTTGGCTGTGTTCTCCTGGCTGCAGTGTATGAACTGTGCGTTAATTTTATTGGACAAAGCAGGTGAACATCAGTGCAATTATATCAAGGTATTGAATACTTGTAGTAGCTAGTCATGATAAGCATTATAGGGTGATTGTGTATGTAAAGTATGTTGAATGTTCAGAGAGAGCACGTGGCAATGTGAGTAGAAAAGTTTTCTTAAACCTACACAGGTATAACCCCATAATTTTGCTAAAAATGGCATGCTGATCAGAATATTTTATAGACACAAACAGAAACATACCTGAACACTTATAACAGTATTAGATGATGTCTAGGTATAGCTAGGTAATTATGAAGTTATATACATAAAGCTTCAGTCATATTTTGATATAAACCCAGTTTGGTAACTGTTCCGCCTGAAGTGGTCAGCAAGTGATGCCTTGTAGAAGTACTGGATTTCAAAAAAAAAAAAAAAGGAAAAAAAGTAATCCTACTCATTGGTTGAAATTTCAGATTCATTATTTTAATTTTTTTCTCAGTGACCACAAGGGCTAGAAGTTCATTATTGTTTTTGTTTAAGATGTAATGTCATGTAATGTCATGATGTCGGGAGCTGAGTGGTAACAGACAATCATCAAGTATTGTGAGACCCCAAGAAAGCTGCAAAGGTTGATCATGATTAGTTTGTAGTGCTTTTACTTCACCCAGGTAAAATTCCATTTAAGTAATAAACTCAGTGCCTGCTTTTATTTATTTATTGCTTCTGAAGAAGTGGTGAGTGAAAGAACATGGAAATATGGTAAATATCTAAGGAGGGCCTTTGCTTTTCTTAAACAAAATTGGCCTGAATCATTGAATCATTTTCATTCCATTCTTAATACAAACCAGCTGTTTCCAATTGTCTGAACTTAGAAACGTCCTAAATTTTAATAGAGTATAAAGTAAACAAAGGCCCAAACTCTTACCTGTAAAGCCTGTAATATGGCTGTTCCTAGGATTTTCATTCGTAGTACAGCTTGTGGAAAAAAATCAAAATTTGCAATGCCTAACACATTTTTTCCAAAGTTTTACAAATTGTTTTGCATGTCTGTAGTCAGAAGTGCAAAGCTATTGATTGCTGTTAGGTTGGACATATGTGTAGCAGGAAAATAAGTTCTGGTGTCAGAGACAGTGTTTTGACAACAACATTTTAGTCTGTAAAATGTGTCTAGATCTTGAGCAGATAGTGAAGAAAATTCTTGAGCTGAACTTCATGGTAATGCACTTATACCAGTATTGGTACCATTCTTCACGAACTTTGGTCAGTACCTTTAGACTGCAGAACATACTGCCAGACCTTTTACATGAATTAAATATCTACTTGTCTTCTACTTTTTACTGTGGTAGTGTTTTCATTTTCATAGATGTAAATCACTTACCTAGCAAATACAAACTCACTGTTCTTAAATGCAGGTTCATTAAATGTGTGCTTTACTTTGGATTCGTAGGATAAATCAACAAGTATATATCTGTAAAAATAGACATCTCACTTTAATGTTTTTGAAAAATAGAAACCTTGGAGCCAGCACTAGATTATACTATTAACATTTTGAAAGTTTACTTCTGATTTATTTGAATGGGTAACTTTGTGATTTAACTTGAACAGGAGAGGCAAAAAATCTTCATCATGAATGCGGTATGCAGCAAAAGATTAAAGTGGAGACAGGTGCACATGGCGTGTACAAACTTGATATTGGGCATGAATTTCACTGTATGCAGACTCCGACCTATAATCACAAGGTAGAGATACTGACCAAAGCACTTGTGTACTTGTGTGCTGAGTACCCTTGTGTCACTCACATACTGAGGGGCTTAAACAGAGCAATGCCCAAGATGTCATATTTGGATCAGTCTTTTTCTTCTCATCTTGTTTCTCTTTGCTTTCCGTCTAGACAAAGATATCTAGTCAAGTTGCTAAGTTGTGCAGTCCATTACAGCTGTAAGTGATGGAACTCTCCAGTGATGTCATTTTTAATGTATTAATTCACAGAACTTCTGCAGAATGTTTGTTGTGAAAATTTTTGTTATATAGAAAACAATAGTGTTAATAAGTTTATAATTTATCTTGTTCTATCCTTCTTGTAACTAAAAGCCAGGAACTGTCTTTGCTTATTCATCAGAAGTTGTATGTCTGGAAAATAAGGCATTTTACAATGTTTTGTATTAATTTTTTGGTTCAGATTTGTATGCTTTCTTAGAAATTTCAATGTGTGTGACCCTTTCGTGCAGAAAAGCAGATCTGTTTAAAATTTCTTCCTTTACAGACTGCACGAAGACAAAGGTTAATTTAAAGGCAAATCGCCATTAATACTGGGTATTTGCTGCAGAACAGAGAACTGGCTGAAAAATAAGCTTCTGGATTAAAGGAAAATATTGTATCCTTTCAGATTTGCTTTTGATCCAAGTTGGACTGAAGCCAAGAAGTGTTAGGATTTCCCATGAAGCAAGATCTTGCCAGGCTTTGCAGGTGCACAGTGAATCCATGTGGGCAGTCCATCAGGAGTACCCAAGTCCAGTTACCTTAACTTTTGAGAAAAGCTATTTGACTGGCAGCGTGTAGACTAAAAGTTTTGGGCTTTGTACACTGAATTTATATCTTCCGATGGAACATGCTTCACTGAAGGAGTTATCAGGCATTGGAACAGGCTGCCCAGGGAGTGGTGGAGTCACCATCCCTGGAGTTACTTAAAAGACGTGTAGATGTGGTGCTTAGGGACACGGTTTAGTGGTGGACTTCGCAGTGTTAGGTTAAGGCTTGGACTGGATCTTAAAGGTCTTTTCCAACCTAAATGATTCTATGATTCTATGATTTTTCTTTGGAAAATTTGTAACCCTTTCTGCTTTAGTCTTGCTTGCTACTTGGGAATATTTCTACAGGCAGTTAACAGCAGTGAATAAAAGAGAAAGCATGGTTTACAGGAAAAAGGTGGTTTTCTGTTCTTTAGGTTCACCTGAAACATGAAGCGAGTGCATCTTGGCTTTCCTCCCAGATGGAAGTGAACTATGGAAAACACTGGGATGAAATAAACAACAAGAAGAAACTTCTGATCAGCCAAGCATTTAAGAACAGTTCCAGTTCATCTCTAGTCAACTATTTCATGGAGGTAATCATGATTGTTGAAGAGTAAGACCTTCACTTCAAATATTTAACAGACAAACTAAGAAAAAAATTGGGATTAATTTATTTATTAAGACTTCTTTTTTCTGTTATGTATTAATAATATAAGTCAGATTTCCAGACCTATTAAGTTTGAATTAGGTAAGGTCTTAACCCAGGCACATAGCAATCACTGACATTTAAAATGAACAAGAAAAAGCCAGTAGATGGATTTTTCAAATACTAAAATGTTTGGGTGTAATGTGGTCTGAGTTGTTTGCAGAGTTTGCACATGTAAAATGTTTGCAGAGATTTATGAAGGTTGCTTTGCTCACACAATGTGGAAGGAGGGTGCAGGTTATAATAACTCAGAATATTACAGCATTTAGGTGGAAGTTGGTATGGAATGCAGTAGCTGAACTAAGATCAGTCCTGTTCATTTTTTTTTTTTTTGTTATAAATTGATTTCTACCCTGGATCAGTAAAATGTTTTCCAATGTAGTAAAGTATAATTAAAAGCCTCAGAGAGGGTTTATGCCTTCTTTTGAAGCACATTCTATGGACTACAAAAAGAAAGAAAATAATTCTTTATAATGGCATACCCTGTTATCTTTTGTTTTATTTGTAGAAAGTTCTTACAGAAGCTACAGATTTTACAATTTACAGAATTTACAATTCCTGTAAATTTTTGTGTTATTTCTTAGAAGTTGCAGGTCTTCTCTGTTGTTGTCTTAGAATAAGTAACAGTTTTCTGAGATGGGTTGTCATTATTCTCTTTCCATAGGAAGTACCTGTAAGCGTAGAATTTATCTGTGATCCCAGCACAGACCGACCAAGAATTATGGTCTTTTTTTTTTTTCAACAAAGTAAATGGTATAAAAATGAATGGAAATTTTCCTTTTTGAATCTCCGGTAGATGTAACAAATGCATATTAAAGAAATCCCAATCTGTAATTGGTCAGCATGCATGAAAAGCTATAAAGTGAATGGCAAATGTGCAGAGCAGAGGCACTAGCTGTGACCTTCCTGCTAGTGTGTGTGTGTGTGTGTGTGTGTTAGCTTAGACAGCCCTGAAGATGGGATCCTGTTGTTATTTAAACTTGCTTCACTTGTTTTCCAGTTTACCATGCAAGTCCTGGAAAAACAGGTGAATTATAGAACCCAGCTGCAGCACTCGCACAACTCTCAGGTTTATTTGCAGAGCAGCACCAACTTTGAGGTGCAGTATAATGACCACGTGCCATTTGTGGCTGGGCTGCAGTGGAAAGACGCATCCAGAAATGGCCTGAAGAAGTGGGAAGGTGAAGTACCACAAACCATTTCCAGTCTGTGATTAGAAAAGCAGGCATTGAAAGTTGCTGCTGGGATTTTGAGGTAGTTTTGTGTGGGTGTAAGAGAATCATAGAAATATTGGTTAGAAGAGACAGACCCTAGAGGTTATCTGGGCCAGCCTCCTGCTTGAATCAGGACTGTTCCTAACAGTAGATCACATCTGCTGTGACTTTGCCTAGATGAGTTTTCAAAATCTCCAAGTTTCCACAGCCTAGCTGGCTAGCCTCTTCCAGCAGTTCCTTAGCCTCTGAAAGTGCAATTTGTGGCCATTGTCCCTTCTATTGTCTGCCTCTTTTGAAAGGTTTGTGTTCCTCATCTTTGCCATTGACTTTCAAGTTAGCTGTAGGCAGCTATTAGATTCCCCTGTTCCTTTGCCAGATTAAACAAGCCCGGATCCCTCTCGTCTTGTCACAGGTCCTGTTGTCTAGGCCCTTTATCATCATAGCAGCCCTCTGCTGTAGCCTTTCTGGTTTCTCACCATCCACCTTGATCTGGGTGCTCCAAAACCAGATCCAGTGTTTCAGACATAACCTCTCCTGTGCTGTGCAGACATCAACTTTTTCTTGATGGCCATGCTCCTAATGTAGACCAGTAATGTCCTGTTAGCTTTTGACTGAGATAAATGATCAAGAAATGAACCAACTTTTAAAAAAATTCTTTACTCTAGAAAGTGATCAAGTTTGTTTTAAGAACATTAGAAAATGGGACACTGAGCAGAATTCTAATGGTGTATTTTAGGCTATAAATTAAACACCTATGTATATGTATGGATATTTTTAAAAAATCACATTTATCTTAGACATTTTGCTTCATAAAGGACAGCAGGGAGTAGGCCTTTATAATAATAAGCTGTATTTTACATTTTTATAGTTCTTTCTCAGATAGGAGTTAAGTTACCAGTGGTGTGCCAAAAATCAGTTTTCTGACGTTTAGTGCTTAAGATGGATTGAATGCCACTACCGTTTATGCTTCAGTGGATGAAGCTGTATAAATCAGGGCAATGATTGGCTCAGTGTGTAGATTTGCTGTTGAGATGTATTTTTTTCAAATCTAGTATACACCATATGTGCAAAATCTTGGATCCTTAGTAATGCAAAACAACTGGCTTGATACAGTGGACTGAATTAAGGGATGTTTTTCTGCTTGTTAAGGTGAAACAAACTAAGGTTAGATTAATTCTGAAGTTTTAAAAATTTGGTGATTACTTTGTGAGTGTCTGTCATAAAGTAATCATGAGTTACTGAGCTGTATCACAATGAGCGAATGGTGTAATTTGATAAATAACCAGCAAAATTTCAAGTCTACTAGGGAAATTTCAGCAGCTTGTCAGATATAAACATTCTGAGCTGTCTACAAACTACTTTCCAAAATAACCTACAAATCTTATTCAAAATGTATGTATTGCAGAGTTGAACTTCTGTGTTGGCATATGTCAGAACAGCTTTGATTAAGGCTGTTATTTTAATTATGTGAATAATGGTTACAGACTTACAGTTCAGTTAAAGATTTCACATTTTGTTGCAGATCATGCAGTAGAACCCTCTCCTGGTGCCATTTAGGGTACTGGACTTCATAAATTTCCATTTATTAGCAAACCTCCCTATGTGTTACACTATGCGGTATGTTATGCTAGTGAAGGGCATTCATTTCGTTATATACCATCCAGAGATTTTGGCAATTGGAAGAGAATAGTTTGGTAGTAGCATTTTAGCCTCATTCCAAAACCACAGCATCTTATCAGCTTTGTTGTGGAGTTAGAGTCCAGGTAGCTTTAAATCTCACATTTCTGCCAGCTTTAATATATGTTCCTTCCAGGTGGACTAAATATAGACACCCCATGGCTATATCTGTATGCAGCTCACAAACTACATCAGCCTCAGCATTCTGCTTATTTATTGACTGTGGAGCTGACAACTGGAAAAGCTCTCTCCATGGAGAAGCTCATAGTGGAACTATTCTATAAAGATCAAGGCAGTGAGAAGGAAGGGAAAGTTCACATTTACACGCCAGCTACCACGTACCTGCAGGTTAGTAACATGATGCTTCCTATAGTGTACGGCTTTGATGTTAGAGCTTTGTGATAGATACCCAACAGAACTGTCATGATACTGAAATAACACTTGTTCAGCATGCTATGTGAAGTAGCTTGTTTGAGAAACTCATGCACTCAGTGCCAGCTTATAGGAGAGAATCTTGAAATGCCTATGTTCATCTGTTTTCTGTGCTTGAATGATGAGTTATTCTTCCTCTGGGGCAGCCAGATCAGCACAGCCAGGGTCTCTTTATGAGCTCTGAAAAAATGTTAGGGCCACCACCTCTGCCCCTCTTTGGAACAGGAGTCCATTGCTCCCTGCACAAAGCTCAAATACATGCTGGCAGAGTTCTGCCTAGGAGTGTACAAATAATAATTACTATTTTAAAGTTCTCTCTCCCCCACCATGAGCTAACAGTTTCAGGAAGTAGGAAAATTGGATCATCGTGTAAGAAATGTTTAAAACTTGTTCCTTCGTGATATGAAACAGCTGACAGTGTCTTTCATTTAAAAAGTAGGAAGAACAATAGTCAAATTTCTAAATTAAGAGCCCAGTGATTACAGCATTCACCTAAATTTGAGGCATTAGATTTAAAGGCATCCTCTGCCTGAGAAGAATGTAACCCACCTCTTCCTGGAGAGTATCCTGCTCAATAGGCTGTCATGTAGTTCATGGCACTTGCTGCCTCTTGATATGGCACCGTTTGTAAAAATTTTTCATCAGTATTTGGAGCTTCATTCATATTAGAGCTCTGATCTTGCAGAATACCTTTGCCACTGAGGTGTTCTTGCTGCTACTCTTTATCCCACTGCATATCTACAAAATGCATAAGTATCTCTACAGGTAACTCTGCAATATGGACAGATTCAGTAGGAGAACTGGTAACCCTGTTGCAGGCTAGAGGACTGGATAGTTCAGTGGCTGGGAACAATCCTGAGAAATGAAAGGTTATTTCTTTTGTTGTGACTCAGAGAATGGCTCCAGTCTCCCACAAACCTGTGTGAGAACCTTCAATAGCAGGTTCTGAAGTGTAGTCTTCTGTCTTTTCTATTGGAATTCTTTCACTTTCTATAAAATGATCATCAACTGGGTGGAATCAGTGTTCCCTGAGTCTATGGATTCTAAGCTTCCTCCTAATTTGTTTTAGACTGTGCTATGCAATAGAGATTTAAAACTGATTTCATCACAGTTGCTGTGCATTAAGCAATATGAAAAACCTCTGTCACTATGCAAAGTGTATTTGTCTTGGAGAAGCTTAACTTCTTACCTGCCTCTGTATGAATGAGATGAGAGCCTGGAATTTTTGCCTTTCTTTTAGAATCCACTGCAATCGTCTAAATCTTTAACTTAAGTTTATGTTTAAGGTGTTCCTTTATTCTGAACTGCAGCTTTCCCTCGTTAGATCGCTGCTGGTTCAGGCAGTGTGGAGGATTGTGAGAAACGTTCGTGAATGAGAAAAAAATGTTCATCAACTATTTTCTTTTCAACTATTTAGCTTTTTCTCTCTTCCTTGCTTAGAGGGGATAAAATAAACTTTGAGATCTTTATGGCAATTCAGAATATTTTGATAATGGAAAAGTTGGTGTACTATTTCTAATAGTTCTTGTAATGATAATCTCCAAGAAAATGCTGTCTTTTCACCTCTGTGCTGTGCTGCTGGTACAATAGGATTCTGTCTGTCCTAACTCAGCCAGGCTAATGCGTTTGTCTTATTTTTCAGGCATCCACATTTAATCATGTTGGGAGGAATGTTCTGCATAGCTCTAGTGAAATGATATCTCTGTGGAATCGGCTTGTGAAGAATGAGATTCATTTGGAGAATAATGAACGAGCCAAATTTCTCTGCTTTAAGATAAAGAGTACAAACCAGGAATTTAACTTCACAGCCAGCTATCAGAATCTGCCAATGGTAAGAAAGAAATACAAATGCAATTTCTTTGACTCAGCGCTGTGTTTTTCAGGTCTGCCACCTTCCTGAGAGATGTTATTGCTAGTGTTGAAACTTAAACACTTCTAGTGCTGCTTCTATTTCTGTCTGTTTTGACAACCTGCAATGTAAAACTAAGCTCAAAAAGAAAACAAAGAAAAACTTGTGTGGTGTAGTTTTGAGTACTTCTCACCTATTTGGGAGGCCAACTACAGATAGAAAGTCAGGGAGGAGAGGACAGAGAGACATGGCTAGAAAGAGAGCTGTAGACGTGATTACTTACATTTTGATGCAGATATATGGCAGGTGTGGAAGATTCTACTGTCTTGGAGAATCAAAATATCTTGCCTGCTAGTGAGCCTGGGTTTATATGCATCCCTTCCAATCTTAAAATCTTTTTTGCTTTGCTTGATGTGCAGCACAGAGGGTAATCAGCAGTTTGTGCTCCAAAGAGATACTTTGATCAGTTACTTTGGTGAGTTCCTTGCAGGACATCTTAAAAAACAAAAAGTGTTTTTCTAGTCATAGCGTTCCATGCTTTGAAAATCCAACCAGGTTTTGTATGTAAATGTACTGGTACCAGAGCTAAAACTTGCTCGTATTGCAAATAGGTTACGTTCAAGTGATACATTATAGGGCATTTTTCTTCTGCTGAAGTCAGTGGTTTTCTACTAACGTCACTTTTAATCCTATGTAAATGGAGATCAGGATTTAAACTGAAGCAGAAGGGGGTTCATCTGTGAAATGACAGCCTCGCTGCAGCCTGTTTAACAATGTGGTTTCTGTATTGACGTTCCTGAATATGAATGCAGTCAATCTGATGCAATTGTCCTTTCCTCTTCTGGTCTCATGATTTGACTGCAGCCTAAGAAGACAAACTTTTCTGTGAAAACTGTATGGAGAGATTATAAAAGTCTGCCTGTCGTGCTGCAGTTTGAAGGTCAGATAGAAGAGCTGAAGAAGGAGAAGATGCTCTATCAAAAACGTGGAACCCTTCATTTCAGGTTCAGTGGTATTATTTCTGTCTCTGAAGAATGTTTTGGCCTAAATTTAATGTGCATCTCGATGCTCTTGGGAAGAGTTCTGGGCTTTACAAAGTGGAAGTGCCGCATGCACAAAGCCTGCACTTCCTCCCATCTGGCTGTCTGAACTTGCTCAAGCACACTGACTTCATGGGCTGGTTATTTGCATCCATTTAGCTTTTGCCCTCCTTATTGAAATGGTCGTGAGCAAAGTTGTCAAAGGCAACAGGCCACCTGTGCTGTGGCAATGTGTTTGTTGGCAATTCTATTGGATGTATAGCCTTCTCTCATGAAAGCAGCAGGATTTATGGTGTGTCCAAACTTCGAAGCGGTGAGAAGTTCCAAAATCCAGATCTGATCCTCTGTGCCATCCAGATGCCTTTTTTCTAGTCCTTAGGAATAATGTAGCCATTCTAAAGCCAAAGATGTCCCTCTTAAAACACATAACAAATGGTCTTGTTTAGATTTTGGAACATGTTTCCATTTCCTGATGAGGATGAGTGCGCTGCTTCTAGATATTGGCTCTCTGAAATTTCTCTCTCCATTACCTATTATCAAAACACAGCTTGAAGGCCTTGGTAAAAATGTATGCTCAGACTTGAGAAATCTGGATCATCTCTGGGGACATCTCAGCTTTCTTAAGGCATAGTAAGGTCAAAAGGAGCGCACAGGTTCCCTTAGGAGCCACTGTGCATCTTGGAGATAGCTAAAAAACTGCAAGATGCCTTTTCAGTAATGGAAAAGGTATGTAAATGAAGAAGGAATTGCTGTACCAGATATTCTAGTGTGCATAAAGGCAGTCCCAATGTCTGCTTATAAAAGTTAATGCATTTTTCCAAGACATCCAACTAAGTAAATGTGCAGAAATATTTAATAAAGTCCATAAAACATTACACTGAAGTAGTAAACTACTCTGAGAACTATGTATTGGCTGAACATCTGTTGCATAAGATTCTTGGCATGCAGATATTGTTTCTACAGAAAGCATAAAATGTGGTTGATAGGTGCGATTTTCAAAGCTTCCATAAGCTTTTGGACACTGTCCCTATTTGAAATGAAGTCTTGGCCATCCAGGTATATAAAGTGTATGTACTGGTTATGCAT